CGAGCACGCATACGCCGCCGTTTGCTATATACGGACTCAGTTCGGTAACAAAGTCGACACCATTATAGTTGCTGCCAAATCGAAGGTTACCCCATTGAAGCCAGTATCGATACCGAGGCTCGAATTACAAGCCGCGGTAATCGGCGTGAGGTTGGCAACCACCGTTAAAGCAGCGCTGAGAGTGCCGATACATGCTCGATTCTGGTGGTCGGACTCAAAAACTGTACTAAAGTGGCTGCGCATGGATCCCAAAAACTTTAAGCCGTACGTAATGCATCATATAGGCGAAGTGCTCGAGACGACAAACGCCACTGATTGGCGTTGGGTTCCGTCGAAGTTAAACCCCGCCGATCTGGCGACAAAGTTCAACACACAGCACGGCTCCGAGTTTTGGATATATGGACCAAAGTTCCTATTATTCGAGCAAGCGGAGTGGCCGACGTGCAAAGACCTTGGTGCAGCGGAGCACACTGAGTTACGACACTGCGTTCTGCATACGACTAAAAGTACTCCTGAACACCCTCTTCTCAATGCAGAGGATTTTTCGACATGGCGACGCCTATATCGTGTGTTTTTTTTTGTTTTTTTTCAACGGAGGGGGAATCTTCCAAAGATGTTATGCACGATTCGTCATCCTGTCCGCTAAGGGTGCACCTCATTCGGGACCCGCCCAGACTATGTTATCACATAATTCAGGACTTGCGAGACAGCGCGCCTACGTACTAAACCCTTAACTCCGACGTCTGAAGCCTTGTGTTTCGCCTTGCGGGACCGCCGTTAGGTATTACGTCGCAAGGCGTAGCTTTGCCAATTGGCTCTTCACACACGCCTTTCTGGCTTATCTCTCGTTCAGTCTTCTCTTTTCGCTACTGCGCTGTCTTTCTTTCGCTCTTAGCTCCTGGAGGACTATTGCGGACCACGCCTTAATTCTGCTCAACACCGCTTTGGAGTTTATCATGTGCCCCACGATATTGTCAGGCGTCATGCTCTCCTTTATCAGCTGCTCTATGTCTGTTCGATCTGCCTCGTATTTTCGGCAGTGGAAAAATACGTGTAGTACGTTTTCGTCGCCGCTACCGCAGAATGAGCACTCTGTCCCGTCATCATGCCCATATTTGAACAGGTATTCTCGAAAGCAGCCGTGCCCCGTCAGAAACTGTGTCACTTAGAAGTCGGTCTCTCCGTGTTTCCTCTCCACCCACGCTTTTATGTTATTGATCAGCCTGTGCGTCCACCTCCCTTTTGTCGTCACATCCCAGTGTCTTTGCCATTCATTTAGGCTTGCATCCCTCTCTTGTTTTCGCTCTTCGATTGTCAGGCACCTGCCTAAGTTTCGGGACTTATCGAAGACTCTTTTTAGCTCCATGGCCATTATTTCTGGGGGCATGATACCCGCTAAGACTCCGACCGCCTCGTGTGACACAGTACGGAAGGCGCTAGTCACCCTGATGCTATTTAGTCGGTGCACCGACTTTGCCGCCTTCGCGTAAGTCTTGCGCTGCAACGCGGGTCCCCAGATGGGTGCTGCATACATTAGTATGGACTGGCTCACTTTTGCTAGAAGCGCTCGTCTGTTTTGGCTCGGTCCGCCGATGTTAGCCATTAGTCTTGTTTGAGCCGTGGTCACTCTTGCCGCTTTTTCACAGGCTTTATCAATGTGCACCTTGTAGCTTTATCTCGAGTCTATCATGACACCCAGGTATTTCAGCGACTGCTGTGTTTTGATGCTATGTCCATTGATGTTGAGCGTAGCGCTCTCCATCTTTTTTCGGCTTGTGATCACCACCGCTTCGGTTTTTTGCCCTGCGAGTTGGAGATTCGTTGCAGCGAGCCAGTTCTTTATTTGTTGCGCCGTGCTGTTGCAGATGTTCTCAACTTGGTAGAGGTCTTTGGCCACTACTGTTATTGCTATATCATCGGCGTATCCGATAATTTGTACCTCCCTTGGCAGCGGCAGTCCCAGAATTCCATCATAGAGGACAATCCAAAGTAGTGGCCGAAGTACGGAGCCCTGTGGTACTCCACCCGTCACCAAGTACTTCCTGGGGCCTTCGTCGGTATCATACAGCAGAAGCCTGTCAGATAGGTAGTTGGATACCATCCTTAGCAAGTAGGGCGGCGTGTTCTTTCTTTCCAGAGCACTTAGTATGTGAGGCCAGGAGGCCGAATTGAAGGCGTTTTTTACGTCGAATGTCACCACCGCGCAGTATTACTTCGTGCCATATAGCCATCTTGTTCCTTCTATTGCCTTGCCTGCGACATCGGTGAGCTTTTTAATTGCATCAATGGTAGACCTCTGTCTTCGAAAACCATACTGGTTATCGGCGAGACCCGGCAGTTCCTCTTCTAGGTGCTGCTCCAACCGTACACAGATTAATCGCTCCAGTATCTTACCAAGCGTATCCAGCATACAGAGAGGTCGGTATGCGCTTGGTTCTCCTGCCGGCTTGTTTGGTTTCTGCAGTAGGACCAGCCGCTGTTTCTTCCAGATTTTTGGGAAGACGCCTTCTCGCAGACACCGCGTAAAGAGTTCGGTAAACGGACCCGTGTTGTGCTTGATGGCAACCTTCAGAGCCTTGTTTGGTATTCCGTCTAGGCCTGGCGCATTACCAAATCTTTCTGCTGCTTGGACCACCTCCTCGTCTGTAACCGTTGGTGCTTCCATTCCCTCCGGTTTCTCTGCTTGCGGTCGCCGACCTCCTGGCGTTTGCACAGGGAAGAGAGTTTGCACGACTTCTTTTAGGAGGGTGGGACAGGTTGGTGCCTGGCCTTTACCACCTTTTATTTTCTTCATGACCACCTTGTAGGCATCACCCCATGGGTTTCCGTCCACCTTTTCGCAGAGCTCCTTAAAGCAGCTGGTTTTGCTGCTTTTGATGGCTTTTTTAAGGTCACTTCGTTTCTTTTTGAAGGCCTCGCGCAGCACGGCATGTTCCATCGAGCCACGGTTCCTTTGACACAACCGCCTCGCCTTATGACACTCACCCCTTATGGCCTGGATTTTTTCGTTCCACCAGTACGCCGGCTGCCTGAGAGAGCCGTGTTTTCTCCTGCACATAGCACCGTCGCAGGCTTTACTGATGTACCTCACCAGTGTTTCAGCCTGGAGCTCAGTGTTATCCTCAGTGGCCATTTCCTCATCCAGCACGAGTCTGAAGAGCTCTTCATCCAGAGTCTCTACCTTCCAGCCCCTCGTTGCACCTTCCTGGTGATCGCCCTTTGTCGGCTCTGTGCACAATTCCCTAGCTCCATCATGATTGCCAGATGGTCACCCTTCGTATAGAGGTCCGACACCTTCCAGCTCGTTGAGCGCACCAAGGAACTACTAGCGAAAGTAATGTCAATCACCGAGCCTCAAACCATTCTTCTCAAAGGTATTTTTGTTCCCCGAATTCAGAAGCACCGCATCAAGTACCGAAAACGCCTTTAGTAGTGCATCTCCCCGCCTCTTTGTGTGGACGCTACCCCATTCCACTGCCCATGCATTGAAGTCCCCTGCTATAACGTTCATTGTGGTGGTCCGGACTTCTTGAACCAAACTGTCTAGGATGTTCTCGTATTCATTTTGTGGGATACTTGGTGGTATGTAGCAGCTATAAAAGTTAAAACCGTCTACCTTCGCTCGTGTGTAGTAGCTTTTACCAAGCAGCGGCTTTTCTTGGAAAGCTTTTCCTCCGCATGTCCATATTGCAGCTTTGCCTGTGAGGTCCGATATCCATGCTCCACTGTCTATATTTTTATACTGCTCGCTGATTATTGCTATGTCCACCTTCTCCTCGTACACCGTTTGCCTGAGCAGCTCTTGCGCTGCTTCGCAGTGGTTGAGATTCAACTGCATGACTCTCATTTTCTTGATTTCTTGCACGCCTCCTGGTATAGCGGACACCTCCAACTACCTATCTGGTGCTCGGTGTTCCTTCTTCCCTGGTTTTTGCATGCTCTGCAGTGTGGCTTTTTGTCGCAGGCTTTCGCAAAGTGTCCATTTTCTCCACATTTTAGGCAGCATTGACTTCTGTCTTCCGCGTTTTTGCAGTCTCTCGCTATATGGCCATATTCCAGGCACCTGAAGCTTTTTTTGGGGTTCGGTTTCTCCCTTACTCTGCACACAACCCATCCTATCTTTATTTTCTGCGCGTCAAGAAGTAATCCTGCCTCCTGCGCTGGGAGATTTACCACCGCGGTTTGTGTGCCCGCATAAGCCGCCCTGATGCTTTT